TATCGAATGAGTAGAAATGAAGAGAACATTGGTAAGTGTTTCAAAAGGTAGAAACAAATGAAAAAGGCAATAATAAACAAGAATGGTAAAACAATCTACATTCATTTTACTATTATCAAAAATTTCACATTTGACCCATGGAGGTGCTTAGTAAATCTTCATTTGCAAGTAAATTCAGCTAATCTTTATATCTTTTAGATCTTTAATTTTTGTTGATTGTAAAACAGTTTATTTAAACTGTAATGTTATTTTCTAGGTGACAATACACTTCACTGACTGATTATCGAACAAAATACTTCGTGTTTTACAACTCGTTCCTCCTTTTAAATTATATCTCCAACCATTTGTTAAGCCATGAGTAATTATGTTGCAATTTTTCCATTTGGTTTCTCGATCCAAATTTTTAACGCAAGCGCCTAGATGTTATAATTGGAATTACACGTTCGGAGTTGCAAATTTGTGGAGTCTGGACACTTTTACTGAGAATCAACTGAAAACACACATGCAACCATTTAGTATTTGCTTGAAGTTAAGATTGTCATAACTATAAAGTTTACTTGACTACATTTCCCATCTTGTTTAGCTCGGTTTATCAAAAATTCTGTAGTTAACCAGTGTTCACAATATTCAAAAAATGTATGTATATAATGTAATAATATCCAAAACTGCTACATAGGTGCATATTTAAGAAAAAACTGAAAAAGTGTTTAATAATTTTAAAGCCAACTCTAACTAGAGCCCCTCTAGGACTACTGCTAGTTCCAAGAGTAGGTGGAGGGTTGAGCGAGTAGTTAGCAACTTCACCTTATGAAAGAAAAACCCGCTAAAGAGCGCTAACAAGAAAAAATCATTTCAACCAATTAAACTCCTCGGAGCTCAAGGGTCTTTATCTAGAAGAATTACAACGCCTAATGGTGAAAGCCGAGATTCTTCCGAAATCATAACGCCAATGCACATTCTGACAACCAGAGCAAATATTAATATGGATCCATGGAATGTCCGAACAATGTAGGAAACCAGAAGGACCATTCAAATATAAGCGGAATTGAGAAAATACAACCTGGTGGTACTCGGAACGAGTGAAACCTGATGGATACCATCAGAACAACATAGGACGGCTTCGGAAAAGATGCTGTTGTAGTCATGAGGTTGGAAATTCCCCTCTCACACAAGAAGTTGGATTGCTGCGCTCCGAAGCGCAAAAAACACTAATGGGATGGAGATCTAACGAAGTTCCAATTTAACATTTGTTTTCAAAAAAGTGTTCAGACGTCCAATTTTGAGATCAACAAGCTGGCTTTCGTAAGGATGGACCATGCACCGACCAAAGTGTAACACAGCGGACCAGTGTTGAGCAATCAATCGAATGGGAATCATCATTATTCATTAGCTTTATTGGTTATGAGAAAGCACTAGACAGTTCGAATAGCAAAACCCTGTGGAATCATCTTCAACAAAATGGAGTACCTGAGAATGTCAGTAACATGCGGAACTACAACGGCGGGCTGAAATGTTAAGTCACGCATAGAGAGCAGATCACAGATTCATTCCATGTCAAAACCAGTGTCAGACAAGAATGCATACTGTCACCTTTTCTGTTTCTTCTGGTTGTTGATTGGATGATGAAGACCTCCACATCTCAAGTACGAAATACAAATTCTTCAAGCAACAAATTTACACCACCATTACCTACGTTCATCAGAGCTGTTTCCAGAACGTCGTCGATAGAAAAGTTGAAGAATGGTGAGATTGGGCAACCCTGCCTAACCCCACTGCTTGAATGGAACAGTGAAGGGTGGTGGTTGTATGCCCTCACTTTGTCTGATGTTAGTGTATAGGAATCTCAAGATGTTACTAAACATCTCAAGCATACCATTTTTCAATAGACAATCCCAGAAAACAATCCTGTCCAACGAATCGAAGACAGCCTTGATGTCAAATAACACTACGATTGTTAGCCTGTAATAAGTATGACTGTTCTCACATTTGATGAAAGGTGAAGATATGATCAATACATCTACCAGAACGAAAACCAGCCTGCTTCTCGCGAGTCAATCTTTCTCGGGTTGTGAACAACCTACGAAGTATGACGGAAGCCAACAGCTTGGTCCTGGTGATTTGTAGCGCCTCAAGAGTTGGAGTTCCTTGAGGACTTCTGGATCAGCCATCACGGCAATGAAGGGTGGGACAGTGTGGTCGATGTTGCCGGTGCAGCAGACCAGTTGAACTATTCCTCGAAGAACTTTGCCCATCGTCCAAGACGTCGGTAGATTTTAGTGATTGGCATCTCTTCTTCACAGGTTGTTTCACTCACACTAGACTCCTTGCTGCCAGTGATTCGGATGAGTTGAAGAAGCTTCGGGTAGATGCAGCTGCTACTTCTAACTCGTAAGCACGCTCCGAACACCTTATGCAAGCTTGGCACAATTTCATTACGTAGATCTTCGTTTATGGTCAAACTCGCGGTCACCCGGAGTAGATCAACGGGCTTCAATGAGCTGCTAGGAACCTATAGAAACCCTGTTCTTATAAGCGGGACGTGTCGCAAAGCCACAAGTAACTTTACTCGCCATTTTCATGGCGTCATGCAATTACAACCAATGCTCATTTATAGTTTTCGGTAGGATAGCAGCTACCCTTGAACCTAGCTCGATTTGATATTTAGTTCTAACAGAAAATGCGACCAATTCGCTAACATCGATCCGTTTAGGGTGATGAAATTGTTGACCATTGTGGCGTAGGGTAAGACTAGCCCAAACAAGGGCATGATCATAGTCCAGGTGGGTAAACAAAAAGGAGCGGCAGTTTTGTACACAACCACAATAGCGGTAGCTGATCGCGGAGTAACAGGCTCAGGTAACGTCACGGCCAAAAAATGTACACTACTAATTAATGAAGACAAACATAACCCTTCTTAGTGTATATTTATGTATCGTATAGGAAAAAATGTTTTTTGTGGAATGCAAAATAGGAAGGTACAAAACGTTTGTGTGAATCATGAGGATTATTCACTGATAAATACTAACAGAATTGTAACATTCTCCCGCCGGCATCAATTTGTCACTATCAAACTGAGTCGCTCGAGGGAGCAATTAGATAATTTGAAGAAAAACGGAGACCTATCACATACAATTTTGTTTTACATCAACAAGCAGAAACTCGTTGTACATTACACCGGAGATTCGGAATCAGCGACCAGATAAGACCTCAGTCCCTACTACAATATAAAGTGGAAAATAAAGTGTTATTCTGCATTTATCATCCTTTTTCTTTGATGTTTGATTCTGATTCTTAGTTTTCACTGATTTGAGCTCTGTCAGTATAAAGTTCCAACTTCGAATATACTTTTTCAAAGACTTAGAGTAATTTATAAAATGAGTACATAAGTGATCAACCTAGAGGCTCAACCTGGTCTCTAAACCAAGAACTTCCCACGCTTCACAGACGAGTGCAATACTAATCTAAGTTTATGTCTGCGAAGACATTACCTTAGTATAAACCTGTTGATCCTACTGGACTATTCCAATGCTTGACTCGTGATTTGTTAACCACTTATATAAGATGAAAATAAAACCATTAGTTGTACATATGTAGTCTAATATTCTACGTTACGATCAGCACTTTAAATTTTACGTCTGAATGGACCATATCACCGCAGAAGTTAGAGGTCAATCACTGTGTCCATGGTATCGTGGTATGCCGACAAGCAAACAACAATGTGTTATGCAGGTGGATGAATATAAGTAAAACTAAGTAATAATAATAACAATGATAAGTAAGGGTTTAACAAATAAGCACAGGTTTGCCCAATAGTTTCGGGTTTTACTTGTGCAGAATCGAGTTACTATCCCGTTTTTCAAGTTGAAATAGGTGGGATGAGGCTCGAGAATAAAAACTTGGTAACCACACTTCAGACAAGACTATTGAACTACAGCAGCATAACTAAACACTAAAACTTTTCTACAACCCAATACAACAATTCAATTGTAGAACGAAATGTGGTCGGAATTGAATTCGAGTATCTTGATTTAATTTCAATGAATGCAGAACCCCAAGGTTTAGGGGAAGATAAACATCTACATCTGTATCAGTGATCAATTCGCAGGCACCTCACTCAACGTTTCCAATCACTGGTAGCACGGACTACAACTAGGTAGTCTGAATCTAACAACACAGCAACCTAAAATGACTTTACACACCAGTTCTATTCCTTAGTTTAGTAGCCCCTAATTTCCTTCTAGCTTATTCCAACTCCAACCAAAATTGTATGTCAAGACAGGCTCTGGTTGGGAATAAGCAATACATGTCCCATCTACTTCACTTGATGAAAACCCACCAACTCCCCAAACACAGAATCGCTTCCTCGATTGTCCCACGATACGATAGTGGTTTCTCGAACAATAAACCTGCGTCTTACATCTCCGAATGTCATAAGCCATATCCCACAGTAAAATAGGGAAGACTACTAAGTAGCATAGTCACCACTTCGTTGGGCGACGAATAACTTTTCTATACCACATATGACGCAAGTTGGCAGAAAAAAATCAAGCTTCCTAAATCCGTGTAGAGATTTCAACATATACCAACACATCAGGGCTCGTAAAACTTCCGAGACAACTCTACTACTTCACTTCTAATGACTAGTCTAGACACTGATACAGACCATCCAAAAATGTAAACCGATATAGTAAGTGGCCACATTCAATCAATCTAACACTAAAAATATCCTGGTATTAATTTATTAACAGGAAGTAAATTAAGGGTATCCTAATACCTACCAGTACAGTCAAAAATATATGCAAACAGTGGAAACACAACATGTACACATCAAACGGGTTAGAAAATATTATTCTGAAAATAATTTATTTGTTTGATTATTTGCAGATAATAATAAATATTAGGAATAATAAAGAGAAACCAAATGATCAAGTATTATGCATTCGCAGTTTTATTGTCTAAAATTACTGATTCGTGTATCGCCAAATTTCAAATACTGTTGGTTAACTCGTTATTCCATTGCGGTAATTTTTGTGTAGCTGTGGCTGAATTTGCATTACACAATTCAACAACATATTTATGGCGTCTTCTTTATGAAGATTTACTGAGGCAGTTTGAGCATCGATTATTTCTTGGGTTAGCTTTTGAATCTGTGACTCAATTTCTGATCGACGACCAAGTACCTAGTAAAAATTTTAAAATATAGTTTAAATCTGTGAGACATTTTGCCATTAAAATACATCTTATCTGCCCAAGTAAATTCACCTGCAGCTCTTTTAGGGCTACTGTCGGCGCCAAGCCCACAACAAAGGAGGGTTGGGAATGGAGTCGACAACCCCATTCCGTAGAAAACGTTGCTAAAAAACGCTAACTAGGATAAACAATCTAAACTCTGCCCTCCGAGTTGAAGGAAAAATTTTGACCCCTTATGATGAAAGCCGAGATTCTTCGGAGGTCATGAGACCGACACCCCCAAACGCCGAATACGGCTGAGAGTTGGGAGGGTCCGCTCTCCCTCTCCTAATGCTCTCACATGGCCACGCGTATATAGCCTCTGCCAGGGAAGTCCCACTCACTGCCTTCACGTGGCGGGGGTGTTGTTTACGAAAATGACAGGACGAAAAGCGAATGTCCGGCGCTATAACCGGATCCCAAATCAATGGTGCACATGGGCTCCAGTATCCTGAAGGGACGAATGGCGTATGAACCAATTTCTTGGTCACCGGCTTTCATGGGACTGCATCTCCTCACGATGCTCCACTGCCTTGTGGACCAGACCCTCAGGTCGAAGGCTCGGGGTGTGGCCCCCTAAGAAAACCATCTGCTTCGGTTTGGGAACCCGGGCAGTACCACAGCCCTCACACATATCAAATGAGATCTGTGTGGCGCATATGTATTTGGTGCCTCCTTGTACCAATATCTATGTGTTAAATTAAATAAATAAATAAAACCCCTTCTAACAACCAGAGAAAAATTTTCATAGGTATATGGAAAACCGGGAAGACCAGTCAAAAGCAACGGAAATGAGGAAATACTGCTTGGCGGTACTCGGAATCAGCGAAAGCCATTGGACTTAAGCTGAACAACAAAGATTAGATACAGAAGAGATGCTGTTGTACTCCGGTCACGAAGAGGAAAATGTTACACATACTCAGGAAGTTGCTCTGATGCTGTCCAAAGAGGCACGAAATGCACTTATAGGATGGGCATCTCATGGATCTAGAATTATCAAAGCACTCTTCAAAAAAAGGAGATGATCACAATGAATGTTATCCAGTGTTATGCACCCACCAATAATAGTAATGAAGACGATAAAGATCAGCTTTACGGGAAGCACAGAATACAATAGACAGCATGGATGCAACTAGACGATTTGGACTTCACAGATCGCCTAGCTCTCCCATGCCATGCACACCAACAAATGCTGGTGAAGACAGTCAGTGTAGTAGCAGCCTCCGCATCGGTAGGCTTGAACACACACAAGGGAAAAACCAAGATCCTGAAACACGACGCAGAGGACATCAACACAATCACACGTGATGGAAAGGCTCTAGAAGAGGTCGAAACGTCCACGTACCTGGGCAGTATCACCGATGAACTTGGAGGATTTGATACGGATATGAAGATAAGCTTTAGCAAAGCAGAGGCCGAATTTCTACAGTTGAATATATATGACTCAAAAAGCTGTCAACCAACAAGTAAATCAGAATCTTCAATACGAAAGTCAAGACGCTGGACGTGGATGAAACGTATATTGCGGAAATCATCAAACCGCATCACGAGACAAGCATTAACATGGAGTTCTGATAAGAAACGGGAAAGAGGAAAACCAAAAAATACACCAGCAATTGAAAGCAGGCATCAAAAGGATGAGTAGCAGCTAGGGTTGTCCAGGACAGGGTTCAATAGAGTCCTAATGAGCAGCCTATACTCCTTCACAAGGGGTAACAGGCGTAACTAAGTAGCATTACGGAATGAACAGAAAATCACATACACAAACAACTCACCTTACCCTCGCAAATTTTAAAGTGATGCTCACGCTCAGCTCGTTCAGCTTCTATTTCTGCTTGAGCCTCAGCTTTAGCTTCCTTTAATCGTTTACCTTTACCTGAGATAGTAAAAGATACTTTGATTATCGAGTGGTAGAAAACCCATTCTCACTGTTTCAGTATATGGAAATCCAATTTTAGTAAAGAGAAAATCAGGAAATTATTCAAAATACAACGCTATAGCAACAGCATACGATTGAAATAGTTGCACTTGCATTTAACCACCTTATGTCAACGAAAACGTGCTGAACATGAGTTCCAAAGAATGTTCCGCATACCAACAAACCAATAATGTGAATACATAAAATGTACATAAAACAATGTATAATTAGGATAGCAGAAGCAACCAAGAAACAGTAGTTTCTCGCTTCGGTTTTAAAATATTCAAATACAAGACCGTACGAGTCATATTATTATCCGAAACACAACCTAGTGACAAAGGTAGTAACTACTGCTTGATCCGGGACCTGAGGGATTTCGAACAGAAACATATAGTGTTAAACATCTGACTTTTCATAGTCACATTTGAAGAGTAGCTTTGAAGAACAGCAAAGTATTAAGAAACTCGGTGGCTCTGCGATAGACTGGCAAGTCAGGCTCGAACATTTTTGAGTGGACGAGAAGTAGTACTACTACCCCTAAACTCAAGTGCGACTTGAAGCTGAGGATATTGAATTATATCTTGCCACATTTACTACGTTTTGAGGGTTCAAGTGCTGGTTTTTACCAAATAAGTTAGAACTTCAAGACCAATGACAAGACTTCTGCTACTACTACTGCCAACAGCCACTTCTGACAGTTGCCTTCTGCCACAATACTGTTGAATGAAGTTACAACTAAAAGCTGACGTCAAAAATATGCGAATAAGCCACTTTATGTCAGTACTACTTTGTGTAATATATCTTCTGGGTGGAACTTAGCAGTACTATCTGACTGTGCATACTTTGATTCGTAAACCTTGATTTCAGGTTGGTATATAACGAATAAAACTCCGGCTTTCAAGTTACTATCTTGTGGATCCTTACAACTGACAGCCTATTTCACTGGTCATACCAAAAGGCCCTTATTAATGTTATTTAAACGTTTTCAGTACGTGACCAGATTGTTGCTGAGTTCATGTACATTCTAATAAGGTCACCTGGCTAGTGAAACCAGTAAGCATTTGATTTACAAAACCTTAAATGGCGCAGTAAAAACGGTGACCAATTAATCAACTGCGTCAACCCTCCAGAAAGGGTCCTAAGTTATCGATGGAATATGGGTTTTTGTACCTGCCCAAGCTCCCAATTTTGGGGAAAATTTGACACATCTTGGGGAAGCCGCTATAGTATACTTTGGGGAAATGGCACAAAAACCCCAAAATTTCCCCAAAGTTAGGAGCTTGGGTGATAGCAAAGTTCCCTGGCACTTACAATACTCTCGTGATTGAGACCCAAAGTGATATTTAAAACAAACTTACGCCTTTTTGCTTCATTTACTTTCTCACTGGCACTCTTTTCAGCTTGTAAAAGGAGCTGAATACCATCATTCCTTGAAGCCATTCTTGATAGTAAACCTTGAAATTTATCTTCTACTCATTAAGATATACACTTAAACAATTACTCCGGTTAATGAGTCTGAAGGTTGAAAGACATGGACTAGTTCTAACGTTATATATATATATATATATATATATATATATATGGATTGATTCAAGTTTTCAGAAACATGACTTACGAAGAATGTCTAGTAGACTGTTATAGTAAGGATTTCCAGTTGGTGGTAGTATAGTAATATTGAAAAAGTTTCCATTACAGAGACTTTCGGTAGCACAAAAATCTCCAAAAAAGACGTCATTTATTGTACACACTTCAGTTGGAAGTATTCGATCACGCAGCTTAGTCCCAACACTAACCTAAAGGGTAACACCCAAAAACTGGAGATACAACATAGCAGAACGGACTGCAGACACAATTTCTACTCCTTAAGAGTTGTCAAATGCTGGAACTCGCTGCCAGATGAGCTAGTCCAAGCAACTTCCCAGGAGTCCTTTAAGAGGCGACTTGATCTATTCTTAAGGACTAAGGATAGTATCTTACTATGATTTACCAATTCATTTTCTTTCTCTTTTATCGTTAATATACCTAGGTTCTTGCCTGGAGGTATTGGTGATCCACTGCTACTAGACACGCAAGCCTGTTAAGCGAAAGCTTCTTCTATTCCGTCCGCAACCATTTGAACCATTTGAATCTGCACCAGATCACCATATAGTAGTATATAAATTCCCAAAATAAATATCTCTATAAGTCTTCGACATTTGAAACTTGCCGAATTAATTTTAGTGAACTTGCCTAGCTGAACGCTCTCGGTCATGCTTCCTCAACAGACCACGAGTTGGCACGTTGTGTCCAACTTTTCCTACGACGGCTAGCCAGCTAAAATTAGTCACTTCTCAATATATGGATATTCTTCCAAATATACCTTCGAGCCTCTTCGTAGAGGACTTCTGACTTCACCGGCTTGGTACACTTGGATTATAGAAGGTGTTGTAACGGTAAATAAATCCCCAAAATAAATAGCTCTGTAAGTTTTCGACATTGGATGCTGACCACATTAGTTTTGATGGACTCATCTAGCTGAATGTGCTCGGTCATGCATCCGCACCAGATCACGAGTGAGAACGCCGTGCTCAACTAACCCTGCAATCGCTAACCAGTCTAGATCAGTCGACCCTCGATATATTGATAGCCTATCAAATATATCTTTGAAACTGCACGCTTCTGACTTCTGATTTCACCTGGTGAGTGTGATTCATAGATGTTACTGGTTAGAGCGTTATCAAACTCCAAATGCCTGTTGCATCTTCAGTGTTACTTGTTAAGGTGTTGTCAAACTCAAAATACCCGTAGCATCTTCATTGGTGAGCCCAATGTGATCTAGTACACCAACTTGCAAACTGTGATTCTGTTCATTATTGGGGTTTTATATATCACTGCTTTGTTTTAAATTTTATATTTTGTGATATTTTTCTCGTGTTGTTGGATATATACATTTTTTCCCCGTCCATTCTTATACTTGATATTTCGCTATGATGGAACAGACACCTTAGGTATTTAAGTTAAATACTATGAATCCAAGTTCATTTCAATTAATGCCCCTTTGGTCAGAAAGCATCGAAGCCTGGTCCTTTTATGATGAGGCCAACTTCTATATGCACAATTCCTCGCAGTAGTAAAGGCACTACCGCACGAATTTAACGGCTACGTCACACCTAGTATGCTTACCAGTGATGTTTCGGAACCCTACGAAACTCCTAAACGATCTATTCTTAAATGCAGAGATCTAACCGATCGACAAAGGTTAGACCAACTCCCTAATAATATCGATTTGCAACACGGGTCAGAGAAAGTCATGTTGTAAGGAATGAGAGAGGTGATTGGACAAAGAATTTTCGATGACGGCATATTTAGACAATTTTTCTTATCGAAACTTCGCCAACAGGTGCAAGCTGTGCTGGTTTCGTTTTAAAACAACGCTGTAAACGAGCTGTCTGCATCTGCCGATAGCATTTTAGGAATCTTCAAATCTTCTAACGCCGAGGTTTTTCCAGTCGAAGTAAAACCTTAAGCGACACAGAATGACACTACGGAATTATATCATACGCTGACAAGTTACCTTTGATTTCATAATAACCGTAAACGGCCACATACCTCGCGAAGAAGTACTTCACGTGAGCGATCTGTCTCTGGACCACGAGAGACAGATAACTCCGACTGATGCTGGTATCATAACCAGAACGGAAAATGTTCTAGAAATTGCAGAAAACCCTGCAATTTTCCGAACTCGAAACAACCGACACGAAACTTCCCAGTAGGCACGCGTTAACGATAGCCGTATCCGGCGAACACAGCCGTCTGTTATACGTCACTGATGCGACAACGAAAGTTCGCTACCTCGTCGATACTGGCGCAGAAGTTAGTGTTCTTCCAGCGAAGTCTAACGACAGACTGCACGAACTGGTTTTAAACTTACAGGCGGCAAGTGGATAGCCTATTGCCACATATGGTAAAGATACTACTGTCTTAATGTGGGTTTACGTAAACCCATTCACTGAATCTTCGTTGTTGCAGATGTTCCTATGCCAATAATTTGATAGACCTGCTACAACACCACAATCTACTAATCGATACGCGCAAACGGAGGCTAGTAGATGGAAACACTAATTTATCTGCTTGCGTAAGTTCTTTTTTCGGTTGCAGATTATCTCCAGTCAGTCAGGCATACGATGGATCCACTCTATCAACAAATACTCGTTAAGCACTCTGAGATATACCAAACACAACCGGAATCACGTGTGTAACCAGTAATGTTACACATCACATCACGACTACATGGCTACTTATAATCTCGAAAGCGCGCCGAGCGGTTCCCAAGAAAGGTTGACTAAGAACGAATTCGAACACATGATAGGTTTAGGAGTCATTCGGCCGTCAAACGGCCCATGAGCTAGTCCGGACAGAGAATCCCATCTCCAGTATCTGGACCTTGCTTTCGATGGACTACGAAAGCATGGCATTATTGCAAGCATTCAGAAATGCCAAATCGGAACTGACTCCTTAGATTTCTTGGGACAAACCAATGATGCACAAGGCATCCGACCTCTAGGAAGTAAAGTGGCGGCCATTCTGGATTACCCAGAGCCGATCACAATTAAGCAATTACGCACGTTTGACGGCCTCGTAAACTTCTATAGACGGTTCACACCAAACTGAGCGTCTCTTATGAAGCTTCTAACCAATCAACTTCATGGAAATGAGAAATCCATCAAGTTAAAGGTTACCGCGAGAAAAGCATTCTCCACAGATAAGGGACTTATCACGAAAGGAACCATGCTTGTACATCAGGACACTCAAGCATCCGTCAGCATCGCAGTAGACCCATTCGGCTCAGCAATTTGAGGAGTCTTACAACAATCGGTTAATCACACCTGGCAACCTTTGACATTCTCTCCGAGACGGTTGCTAGACACTGAATCGAGGTATAGCACTTTCGGTAAGGAAATATTAGCTATGTGTTGTGCTGTACGGCACTTTTAACACTCTATTGAAGGCCGAAAATCTACTCTTTCCACTGAGCATAAACCTCTTACTTTCTCTCTAAGCTCTTCTTTAGACAAGTACTCACCTCGAGAGTTTCGACAACTGGACTATATTCCACAGTTTACTTCAGATATATAACACATTTCTGAAGCAAACGATGGACTCCTAAGTTCCTAACTTCTGATTTCACTGAGTTTGCGACCCTCCATTATAAAGGTACTATGGACAACAGTGTCATCAACCCTGAATATCCGTGATGTCTTTGTGATTGTTAGGATGATGACATTTCAACGAAACATTAATCTCGCTAGTTTTACTGAACTTGAATGTAACTCAAAAACCTTTCGTGCCTGCCGGCAACCCCCACGGTGTTGATAGATCTTCGCACAGTCACAATGGAGCGTGGGATTATCTGTTAAGACGAGCAAAGCCTCTCGACATTCAGCATAAGATAATCCGAAATATAACGCCTATATAAAATAAGGAAGTGAATGAATGCTTGAACTATACTATTTTGACATATGCTTAGTTTTCTGAGGTCAACTCTTAAACAACCAACCTAAGCTGTCACAGGCCCAGCATCTGAATCTGCCTTTTCTATCGTAGCATTCTACTTCCACTTTAGTCCTCAGCAAATCCTTTCTTATCAAAATCATACGTTACAAAACATATATGGTGTAACAAGCACGCGCCGCATATTGTTAATCATTTTTAAGCGCCTGTCAAGTGATTTTTTGACATTTCTCCGTTTGCTGAGCATAGGATGCATGGTAATTACCATCTACCAGGTTTCCAAAGTTTATGGTGACCCGACTACTGAATTTTCTCATAAGTTTGTTAATATCAATACCAACAGAAAGAAACCTGTATTATTTGATTTTAAAACTAAAATCCCTCTTTGAGAAAGCTTTCATACATAACCATCCATAAAGTGTGTACACATTCAAACATCCAACCACTTATATGCTTCTTTAGACATAGTGAAATGGAATGAGACACCCAGTAAACTACATTAGGGACAAATCGTCACTCTAGGTAGCCTGCATGATTGCACACGTGAAGAACCACTGTGGTGTTGTATGAGCCAATGATTCCTTTATACTTGATAACTGACTACTTTCGAATTTCAATTACATTACGTTCGCTCTTGATCACCGGTTTGTTCTTGGCCTAAATTGCGTTATTTCTGGGATTCCCAGTTCGTACTGCAATTGGAATACTTATAATCATCACAACTACACTTAAATTACTGTCATATGGGACAGATGGTCACAAATGAAGAAAAACGCTACACTAAAGTGACCAAAGCGAGTAGTGGGTTCAGAATAAAACAATCTTTTCGGACTCCAAACGAATCGATAAAACTGGAACAAAAGTAAAGATTTGAAGGCAAAAAAACAGATTACTATCATAACGCTTTGCATTTCCATGTGATATTTGATTTTTATGAACCTAAGAAAATA